GTAAAATATAAATGAATCACTCAGCAGTTGTCCTATTTATAGGAAATATAGGAGGTTTTATTTAAATATAGGCTCTTTATAGGATCCTATACAAATTATAGGATATATAGGATATATAGGAGGTCTGGGATGCCTGGTACACTAATACTTTATGTTTACGCATCTACTTTCACATATCTAGCAGATACTTTAATCTTAGGGTGCATGTTGCATCCTAGCCGCCATGTTAGTAACAAACCATCCCTCATTAACTTCTCTTGTTAGATCAACCAACATGGCGGCTGTGTCATATGGTTTCACCCCAATAATATGGCGCTTGATCTCAAAATTCAAAAAAATTTCTGATATCCTAAACTACGCCACGAGGAGAAAAAAATCACAGTTATAACTGGTATTTGCAAGGCAAGATAATTCGACTGAATCTTTGTATACGCCATATATCCCTTCCCATTAGAATGAAAGGACGAAGACGTGGTCGCCATGTTAGTTGACGTCGCCCTTGTCCAAGTCAACCATCATGGCGGCTATGACGTCACATGCACTCATAGAAGACAAGATAATTTCTTACCATAGCAACATATGCTTTGACGGGTTTATTTTCTTCTTTTAACACCAGAGGTCGACCGAGATGTGGAAGCCTAAAGAAAACAGGGCGGTAATAGAGTGTAAACCATATATTCGTGAAAACTGAACTTTGTAAGGAATTGCACAGATTAATACACGACTTTCATAACAATCAATGTTTTTGGAGTGAAAACCCTTTTAAATCATTGATCTTGTTGATTTAGATAAGGCGTTGAGTTTCTACTTAAATTAATAAATCCTTTACAAGATGTGAGCATTTGAAGTTTTGAAAATGCACCAAAACGAAGCCACCAAGGCTTCCAGTGATAAATACATACAAAACTCTCTATTTTCGTTCTTTCATAACTTCTTTGATATTCAGTCAAATTCTACAAAATTTTCTGSAAATAGTTTTCRTGAAGTATTTTCTCAGATAGCATTAATAGTTTCTGGTAAAAAGGCTTCATTTTCTCTATCCGAAAAAACTGAGTTATGACTAATTTGTACTTCTGAGGTAAGTATGAACTAACTAACGCATTACTGTTTTTTGTGTGTGGATAAGTTGATACCGTTATCCAATACATTTATGCACTAAATAATATTTATCTGTCGGACAGCGCTATCCAGGCTTTCTACAACCGGGCCCTGATGATTTTCTTCCTAGTAGCACTTTAAGTTATAAACATACTCTTCAGTGTCGTGTCGTAAATACTCAGACCATCCTATTTCAGGCTTTCGCGGGGGGTGCAACGAGTCTCGTCTTGTTGTCTAAAATATTAAAAATGAAAAGTTAGCTTTACTTGACCGCAAGGTGGAACATGTATCACATGTGAGTGTAGGTCTCTCCCTTGATTCGAGGGTTTTACTCCGAGTTTCGTTGGTGAGTTAGCCTTGCCCTGACTTAGATTAGCCCAGAGGCTGTTTCTAGACTAAATCTGTGAATTAGCKGTGACCTGACTTAAATCAGCCCAGGGGTTGGTTCAGGATTTGATCTATGAATTAGTTATTCCTTAGGTCGTGTTTCAGGGTTCAATCTGTAAGTTAGCGGTGCTCTAACTTAGATCAGCCCAGAGCGTGTTTCAGGGTTCATTTTCTAATTTACCCGTGCCCTGACTTAGATCAACCCGGAGCCGTTTTTTCAGGGTTGGATCTGTAAGTTAACTGACTACGATCAGGCTAGAGATGGTTTCAGGGTTCGATAAATTGATATTCGGTTTGCTTTGGTTCGTGTAGTATTAACTTTTTCCCTTTAGGTTCAAATACCTCTGGCATGTTCTCTATAAGATTTCCACCTTTACTTAAACTTTCCATCAAGGCCTTTAAAAATAGAAAACAGAAGATATCATATGAATTAATTACAAGTCACTGTTAGCAGTGTAAGGCGCCGGACCATAGCTTGTGGTATCCTGATATAATGTGCAAACCCTCTAAATAAAATCAAGCAATGTTATTGAAATTAAAATTATTGCTTGAGAGCATTTGGTCACCCTGTGTTGTCGGGCTAATTGCTAATCAATGCCGCTCAATACTGAAAAATTGAATGCTGGAAGCATAGACTACACGCTTACCACATGGATAAGTTTGTCCCGATGAACCCTTTGGGTTTATGTTTGTTTACGATTTTTGAATTGCCCTATTTCACTATGACGTCACTGCTTGTTTATGTAAGGGATAGAATCGCCAAATCCAACAGAAAATTCAACAAAATTTTCTCCTAGCGAACCAGTTTAATCTAAAGTGGTCTGGTTTTCAGATATATGTGTTAATATGTACTAAAAAATATCTTGAGCGTTTGCTGGCTATTCTACTTCTCTTCGTGGATTGATACGGGATTTAAAACAATTTTCGGTGAATTTGCGTTGATTCGACCCCCTCCGACGACCATGATCCTTTGCGTTTAAGCAATAGATTGTTTTGATGTGACGTCATAGTGAAATAGGGCAATTATCTTGATTTGAAAGAAAATGAGCAGAAAACCACAGGGTTCCCTAATTTAAAATATTGATTGTATTTTCATACCTTGTTTTTAACCAGATCTTCGTTTGATAAGTGTTCTCGCCTGATCAAAAATGGAATCAGTGACAATGAAATTCGTAAAATATGACCCATTCAATATGACAAGAGAATGATACTGGGACCCAGAGCTCATTGTACAAATCACTGTATTTTCGGCTCTGTTTCAAAAGTTAGAATAGAGCTGAAAATACAGCGATTTGTATGGGGAAATTGTCCTTTACTGCTGTTTTCGATATTCTGCAAAATCGGTAGTTGCAAGCTGCAAGCTCAAAATTGTTTTCGCTGCCGTCAATCAACGATAATAAGTCGGCACGTTTTTGCATTTATGCCTGGCGGGGGAGAACAACCAATTTCACAACTTGCCGTTGAAATGTCTAAATTCGCAGAATATTGAAGACAGTAGTAAATCCAATCCAATCAAATTTGACAATACTATGCATTGAAGAGTGCTTGCTTACCGCTTTTTAGAAACCAGCATCATTCCATTAACACAATATATGTCAGCTATATATGGACCGACCATTTCCTATGACAAACAGTTTGGTAATCAGTGAAAACGTTCATATTTTAACTCCAAGGTATGGAAAATAAAATTGATATATCTTAATGGTGGAAGAGGCAAAAATGAGACCCCAACTCTACTCCAATAAAGAAAACGGGAAGTTTTCCTTGGTTCGCACTTCAGCAGGAGTAGCGCAAGCGCGCACATTATGGCGGGAAATTTCCCGCCAAATTCACAAGAAGTACGACATAAAAAATCATGTTCAGAACCATGTTCAGTTTTATAATGCCGTCACGGAAAAAGCTAAAATTCCTCAAACATTTCACGATTTCTTGTCGAAATTATTAATGGATAAAACTGGAAACCTTAATTTTACGAGGGGTAGGGTAGGGGGTTATTTTTACTAACTTTTCCCTTCTTCCTTCCCCTCAACTCACCTGTCTATCTGCCCGCCAAAACCATCCAGCCTGTGATTTCGCAAATGTTATTGGCTTTGTTGACATGTAAACCGAAACGATATCACTATGAAACAAGCAAGCAGACAAAATGTTACAATGAACACTTTTATATGAAATTCTCGTCCAAGACGAGCGAGGTCTAATAGACCCCTTGCACTAAACCACTACCTGGGGGTCAAAACAATAGCGCAGCGCAACCGTGAGGTCATAAAAACGAAGACAAAGGCGAAATTCGGACAAACAAACTTACAAGTTTACTTTTAGCAGATAATTCTCACAGCCAATCGCAGTTGGTCTTAGTTTACATGGGTTATTATTGTAACTTTAAGTAAAAATAATAAAATCGGTTCGTATAATCCTCGTAGCGGTTGAACAGAATGCAATGTTTGTCCGAATCTTTAAGCTATTTTTTGAATCAGTGCGCTGCGCTATTGAATATATTAACATCTTAAGATTTCAATCCTCAAGCGAAGGGAATTTTTTTTTATTTTGACCTCAAGATTGAGCTACTTTGACGTCGCTTGCAAGGCGTCTATAAAATGACGTCTAGAGAGTATTCATTGAATAAAATTAATAGCGAGAGCAATAGTGAAACTCCCAGAGTCCTTCCCCCCCTGTAGAGCCTGGAAGACTTGAGAAAATGGAGAAAAATACTTCGATTCACAGAGAATCAACAAGAAAGGTGTTGGTGAATACGAGGATTGAATCCACGATCGCAGCAGTTAGGGGCAGCAGCTGGTTAGCACTGTACTAACGTTTCAGGCTTGAGTCCCTTATCCAGAAAAAAAGGTAAAAAACTATAACTAGAAATTTGGTTTTGTTCTCGACGTTTTGACTCCTTCAAAAGTCATGGTTCCCCAATCGCTATTTCATTGATACCTGCTCATTAGTAAGTCGACCTCTTCTTCTATTTCGGATTCTGTTTCCTGTAAACAAAAAGTGGTAAATTAGCATCAGGGTAAAGTCTGTAAAACCTGACATAGGAGTAAGAGAGGGCAAGTGCCAACGACTTTTTGGGTAATATTTTTCAAATTTCCTTTTGGTGTAAAAGCAAGCCAACGAATAAATATGCTGTGTCTAGTAATATGGAACCCAATTTCGACGAAAGTGCTAGTATGAAAATATATCTCGAAAAAAAGCCCCAGCTTAATTGGGCTTYCTGTATCGTTGAGTTTGACTATTCTACCTGTACAACTACCCCCCAAAAAAGTCATTGAATATCGTTTATTAGCTGCATTTTAATAGTTGGTGCAATATTGAGACGGGATAGTAAATTGCAAACACAGTAAAACATGGCAATGTKGTTTTTACCTCTGTTCGTAGCCTCTGGAATACTTTTCTTTCGTTATCTAATACTGCAAAAGAATTTTTTCCTGGGGAAAAAAAGAAAAATGGACAAATAATGTGAGATTAGAGAGAGAGAGAGAGAAAACGGAAATAAAGGTGTGTGGAGTAACTGAAAATTTTTCTCTTTCTTTTTCTCTTATACATAATGATTGTTGTAAATATCGACCCTGTTATTATTTAGCACCTGTAAATTAAGCAAAATTTCAACTATGTCATCTAACTCGATTGGCGTTTGTTATTTTTAGATGACATGTACAARTAGGCCTTTCAATCTTTATCTATATTGAAGGAATAAAAAACGCGCGCGCGTGCTGTGTGCAGTCATAAAGCACGCGGGGGTTGGCAGAACACGAGAGAAGTGTTAGGAGAAGCACGACGCGTAGCGGAGTGCTTCTGGACACTTCTCGAGTGTTCTGCTAATCCCTAAGTGCTTTATAACGGCATACAGCACAACAAGCAAGTTTTTTATTTCTTTTATGAAATACAAATTACAATAACCGTTATTTTATATAGTAATGACGCAACGGAAAGTGCGCGCGCGTGCAATGTGCTCTTATAAAGCACGCGCACCAAGCCAATCAGAACGCGACATTCATAACAATTATTTTATAAATGTTTATTCTGSTCTTGTCAATGAAATTGTACAAATAAAGATATTGTTGTTGTTTGTTRTTGTTGTTCAAGGTTTGGGAAGCAAGAGATAACACAACTAAACACGCATTCATTTC